GCCACAAAACAGCCAGGCAAAATAGCAGTGTCCTCAATCTGCCCAGAAAAACGCCCCAGGACATCTCACCACCCCGGGAAGCTTCTGCTTTAGCACCTCCAGGATTTCCCCACAGGAGGTCACAGGGTGTCACCTGAGCAGAGGTGTCCCCGTGAGCGAGGTCACAGCACGAGGAAGTGAGTCCTGCACAGTGTCCCAGCCCCAGAGGTGGCTCCTGGGCCACCACCACATTGCCAAGACCCAACTGAGGGGACCAGCAGCCACCCTCCCTCCTTGCACACCTAATGATGGGGCCTTGGCATGGGATGTCCTTGCAAGTCAGACAGGGAGGAGACAGAGCTTGGGGTGGCCTTAGTGGTGGGACAGCACAAGGGCTGGGGGTGGCATTAGCTGTTTGATGGGGATGGCACAAGGAACTGGGGCATACTCTGCTCTGTGGCGACATGGGGTGCTCCTGGGTGGTGCATGATGGGGACAGCCTGGGGAGACCACCAGATCCCCTGCTGTGCAGGACGGGGTGCATCAGCTGTGTAGCGGGGATGGCACAGGGGCTTGGGATTGCCTTAGCAGTGACACAGCATGGGGACACAGGGACGGAGTGGCACGGGATGCCATGGGCATGGCACGGAAGCACAGGACAGGCAGCGCGAGGGCTGGGGATGCCCTCGGCCGCGAAGCGGCTCAGAACGCCCTTGACCATGCGATGGGGACAGCGCAGGGGGTCTCGGGGCACCCTCGCCGCTGGGGCGCGGGGTGGGGACGGCTCCCCCTCGGCCGCCCCGCGGCACCCACCTGCCGAGGAAGCGTCCTCCGCGTCCGAGCTGCCGCCGCTGCCTCGCTCGGGGGAGCTGCCGGCGGGGCGGGGGGCGGCGGGCGGCGGCGGCGGGAGGGGGGCGCGGGCCAGCGCCGCCTCCAGGTAGCCCACCTTGAACCGCTCCTCGGCCAGCGCCCGCTGCAGGCGGCGCAGGTGGCGGCGGCAGCGCTCCAGCTCCCGCTCCATGGCCCGCACCGAGCCCAGCTCCATGCGGGGCGCCGGCTCCCCCGGGAACTCCGCCCGCCAGTGCCGCGCGAAGTCCGCCCGGGCCGCCTCGCCCGCCGCCATCCCCCGCCCCGCACCCGAGATTTTTCCCCCTCCCTCCCTCCGGCACCGCCGCCGCCTTCCGCCCCCCGCCGCCGCCGCGGGGCCCTGACGTCGCTGCCCGCCCCCGGCCCGCCCCGCCTCGGCTCGGCCCCGCCGGGGCGGGATCAGCGCTGCCACCGCCCCCCGGACCCGCTCGGCTGCGGCCCGCGGCGGGAGCTGCGGGGTGGGATGGGATGGGATGGAGGGACGCGCACCCCACTGCTCCCACCCTCGGTCCCTCCGCCCCCGGGTCTCCCCGAGAAGCTGCGGGCCGGGGGATGCGGGCGAGGGAGCGCCCGATGCCGGCAGCGTCAGAGCAGTAACAACATGATAGCTGGTGCCAGAATCCATCCCACGCGCTGCGAGGGATCCCTGAGCCAGGAACAGTGGAGCCTTGAAGGCACGGGGTGGCTACTGTGCCGTGGGGTGGCTACTGTGCCACCGCTGAGCTGCCCTTCCCCGTCCACTGTGTGCCCTGGCCCTCACTGTGGAGCTCTGCCCAGTCTCCTGGCCGCCCTCATCCTCTGGCCAGTGAAACTCTGCCTGCCCTGTTGGTCTCAGGATGGATGGGCCATTCCCAGCAGATGCAGGGGCAGGCACAAGCTCCTGTGGTGGGCAACAGAGATCTACAACTCCCTGAAAGGAGGGTGTAGCCAGGTGGAGTTGGTCTCTACTCACAAGTAGCAAGTGATAGGACAAGAGAAAATGGCCTAAACTTGTGTCAATGGAGGTTTAAATTGGATACACTGAACTATTCTGTGTTTCCGTGAAGGCCCATGTAAAGCCTTTGTGCCCACTCTGCTACCCACACCACGCTGTGTTTAAGCTGCCAGGCCAGCACGTGCCCATGGCTCACTCACACCTAAACAGACAGGACTTTCCAACTTTTGCCCTGGGCAGGGCTGTTTCCCTGTGCCATGCAAGGTGCTGGAGGACAGGACCTCCCCAAGGCGGAGGCAGGAGCCTCCAAGCAGCATGGCCTCAGGGCACTGCCTTTCCCTGCCTCCTGTGCCCTGCAGGATGTCGGGCTGTGGATGGATGACTCACCAGCCACGTCCCTTGTGCCACCTGGCCATGCCCCAGCAGGAACAAAGCGCCCTATTTATTTACCCACGGGGCCCAGACTGTGTCACAACAGCCACCTCCTCCTTCCCCTCCGTCATCAGGGGTGGGCACCTCCCTGCACCCGATCCCTGGCTCTGATGCTGCCCTGGCACAGGATCCCTTGCTTCACTCTGGCGCATCCATGCCCCCCAGTGCAGCCTTCCCAAGGAAGATGGATGGTGCTGGGACACTGCCAGGAGCTGGGCAGCCCCCCCAGGCCGTGTCAGCTGCCTCCTCACCCCATCAGGGTTTTACCTCCAGTGAGGGCTGTGCTCCCAGATGGCCCCGGCAGCTCTCACATGGAAGCAGCAGTGGTTTGGGGGTGCTGGATGGGTGTGGGTGAGGGGCAGCCAGTCCAGGGCTCTTTGCAGGAGTTAAGGCCTGGCTCAGCAGCAGTGTTGGGGCAAAGACACCAAGAACACACCTTTGGGCTGCGGGACCCATGAGAGCTGTGACAATACTGGGAGGTGCCCAGCACTCAGCAGTGCCCCAGTCCAGTGCGACACAGGTGGGGTGTCCCTGGGGGCCAAACCACTTCTTAGAGGCTGGGGAGGAGGACAGGGGTGCCATGAGTGGCCTGATTTATGTGTGGCGACAGATAATTACAGCTCTTTCATCATCTGTCAGGCAAACGGGCCCAGCAGAGCCCTACAACACGTTTCTGGCTCCCCATCTCAGCCCATAAATCTCACCAGCACATGGTGATAAATCAGCAGGGACCAGGGGAGCAGGGCCTGGGTGGGCGTTCCTGCTGACCTCCCACCCTGTAATGGGCACCTAGGTAGGAAGCGACCAGGACGAGGTGGGGATGGCCCAGTGGGATGCACTAATTACAGGTGGCATCCGGTGCCCCGTGATTTATAGTCTGGTCTTGCCCGCTTCCAGGAGCTGGGCCTGGATCCCTGCAGCAAGGGCTGCCCAGAGCTGAGACACTGAGAACCCCTGGCAGCTCTCCCCAGCCAGCTCCTGGGGGCTGGGGGCAGGATGGGGGCAGCTTTGGGACTGCTCCTTCTGCCCCTCCCTCTGCCCAAGCATCACCCAGCTGGGACTGGCTTTGTGCCCAGCTCAGCCTCCTCCGTGTCTGTTCTGTACTGCACCTCCTGACCTCCCACACCAGCAAAAACATTCCCATGGCAAGGATCTGTGCTGCTTAGCTGGGTTTTAGACAGGCACGTCTCTAAGTGGGTCTGACATCCATGTCCTGCTGGCATTCAAGCATCCTGAAGATCCCCTTGCTCCTGAGCTGAGCTCACCAGGTAAGTCAGTGGTTGGGGAGCCTCCACTCCTGGGCAGAACAAGACTGGGTGGTGAGAAGGATGCTGGGGAGAACAAGAGGGCCATAGTGAGCACAGGTGAGCGCTCAATAATATTTGCAAGCTTCACCTCCCTTTGAAGTCCTGGTGCCTCAACCTCCCCTCTCCCTGAGGCCCTGGCTCCTGATTTATTGGGTTCCTGGAGGAGAGGCACCTAAATTAGCTCAGGCTTCAAAGAGCCAAGAGAGGAGACGGGCAATAGACAAATAACCCCCCGCTAATTGTGGCTATTGATCAAACATGAGCCAGGATGATCAGATAGGAAGGGATGGATCAAGGGGGGCACATTCTCCAGGGGCTCTGCTTTCGCACCAGTCACCCCAACAATTTGTCAGACCCGCTCCTGGGCTGTTTTTCAAAGCATTACCTGTTGCACAGGAAGGCATTTAGTGACTGGTTGCTAATGAGATGATGGGCAAGCACACGTGGCTGTCCCTCACTGCTCTGAGGGTGGGGACCTGGCTCTGCCCATGGCCTCCGGACCTGCTGCACCTGGGAAGTCCCTCGTCCCACCAGCTTGTGGATTCAGGAAACAAGGAGCTGCTTTCAGCATCGTTTTCCCCAAGTTAAGTGCCGGTCAGGCACGTCAGCCCAGACAGCTCTGCCCCCAGGCTCCTGCTCTGCTTCGAAGGGACAGGAAGGCTCTGGATGCAGGTAGCACTTTAGCTCTTTTATCACCTGCCCCAATCCCCCCTGACACATTCCTGCTTCCTGCTCCGCAGGGCAGAGGCATGCCAAGCCCTGCACATTCCTGTACCGACCCCTGACTCCCTGGGGCTGCTCCTTCCCAGGCACCCACCTACCTCAGTGCCCACGGATGCTCCCGGCTCACTGGGGTGCAGCTGTGTGGAGCCTCCAGCCCCAGTCCTGGGGCAGGAGTAATTTTGCCTTCTCCTGCACTCAGCCACAAGACTTGCTCCTCTCTCAGCAATGTCATCATTCCGTGCCTCGGTTTCTCTTAGCTGGGAAGTAACAGAGATGCTGCAGCACCCATGAGCTGGGGGGAAAGAAGAGCCAGGGTGGTGATGCCCCATGGGGTTCTGCGTCACAGCACCATATAAAAAACAGGGATGACCTGGCCCAGGCTGAGCCACCAGCCCACCCAGCAGAGGAGAGAGCAGAGCAGCACAGGAGAACTCCTGCAGTGCCCAAATTCTTAGCAGAGACTAAAGCAACCACTGCATCTCACTGCAAGCTCTGGGCACCCCAGCACTGATGCCCCATGCTCCAGCCTGGTACCACATGCTCAGGAGCATCCCCAGAGGCAGGAACCAGGCAGGACTCGCCCTGTGACTCTCTGCAAAGCCACACCTGTGGCAGGTGAGGAGGGTCGGGGGAGCCACGTGATGAGCCCTGTAGTGGGGTTTTTTAGAGGCGGCTGTGTGTCCCTGGAGGAGTGTCTCCCACACCTCGCAGGAGGCAGGACCACAGCAGCACCTCTCCCGCTCCCCCTTGCTGCTGCCATGTCCAGAGTAGCCGTGGGGAAAGGCACAGAGCCAGAGCCAGACAGCTCAGAGGAGGAGCTGGAAGCGGGGGGCACACCCCAGGCATGCTGTGGGCAGAGTCTGTGGGTCCCCCAGGGCAGGGAAGCAGCCGCCTGCCTGGGGGACACCGAAGGGATGAAGGTGAGGAAGAGGAGCAGGCCGGTGCGCTCCAAGGCCAGGAGGATGGCTGCCAACGTCAGAGAGCGTAAGAGGATTCTGGACTACAACCAAGCTTTCAACGCCCTGCGCCTGGCCCTCAAGCATGACCTCGGTGGCAAAAGGCTTTCTAAAATCGCCACCCTCCGGCGAGCCATCAACAGGATCACGGCTCTGTCCCTGTCCCTGCACGGCGCCGGGTGCTGCTGGCCCTGCGCCCACTCCGAGTGCCACGGCCGGGCTGGGGTCCCCATGCAGGAGCCAGGGGTGAAGGGCAGCCGCCCCCAGCTCCCCTGGGAGCCCGGTTCTGCAGGCACACGCTGCCCTCCGTCTCCTCTCTGCGCTGAGTTCTCCCCTCAGAGGCAGCTCCATCACTACGAGAGCCCAAAGGAGGATCACTCCATGCCCAGCCCTGCCTGTTGCTCCAGTGGGAACCCCCACCCTGCGCTCCGGGGCACCCGCCAGCAGCGACACACGGGCAGCCTGCAGGACCCCCTGGCCGGGGCAATCCCCTGGCAGCTGGGCTACTGCCAGAGCTGGGGACACCAGCAGTGCCTCCCCATCCACTGACCTGCAGGGCCGGGGTGGCAAGATGGTGCCAGGAAGGTAATGGATCCATGGGACAAGTGGGGGGAGCGGGAAGGGAGTGTTGGATGAGAGAGAAGCACTGCAGGATGTGGAGCTTGGCTGCAATGCTGCTGAGAGCTGGGAACCCCCAACAAGCTGTACTGGACCCCAGCGCTGCCCAGGTCTCTACTCTGTGGGAAAACTGTGGAATGTAGGAAGTCCTCTGGAAGTGCCAGCTCTCTGTTTCTTGTGAGTTCTCACTGTTGCTGATTGCCACTGTTATTTATTCTCTCTCGCTTGCTCTGTGAGAAAATACGAATTACAAACCCAGCACCAGGGCACTGGCTCTTAATATGTGTGGGATGGACAGATGGGCCGTGGGGATCATGCTAAAGCCCCTGGCTGGCTGGTCACTCTGGCTCCCATCGGTGAAGGAGGGGAGCAGGAGCAGGGAAAGGTTAGTGCCCTGGGACTTTTGATGCTAAGCTCATTGGTACAGACGTTTGTGCCTGGCAGATTTGCGAGGCCGTGAGGGGAGACAGATGTCAGCTTTCATAAAACCCACCCATCCAATTGCAGTTTCCTCCTGATCACACTGAAGTGGCTCTGGTGGGACAGGCCGGTAGCACGTTCCTGGCCGGCCCCCACGGCAGGGAGGAAGGGGGAATTTTACTGGAAAGGTCCCTTTTGTCCCTTCCCTCTGGCTTAGAGAGCTTGGACCAGCTGGGAGGGCTCCCTTCCACCCGAGGCTCAGCAAACTGGAATTGCTACAGGAATCAGGCAGGGATTTACAGCCACACTTACCACAGCCAGCAGATTTTTGGATTGGACCAATTGCACTGTGTGATTCCCGCAGTGCTGAGCCCCACAGAGCTCCCCCAGCCCCACTGCTCCCACCCCGGTGCTCCCAGCATGGCTGCCAACATAAAAGGGCAATCTGAGCTCCTTCCCTGCCGAGGGGCACATGCTGGAACAACCATCTCAACCCTCTGCTGTTGTGTGCCAGGCCCTCCCCAGGGTCTCCTCCTCCTTCCTTAATCCCCAGTGGGACAAGGGAGCTGGGCTGGGAGCAGGGGAAAGCTGGCAACAGCCAGGAGAGAGAGCTCTTTGCTCAGCAAAGGAGCCTCTTTAAAGTGCTGATGATATGAGGCATCTTGGCTTCAGCCTCTGACAGGTGTTCCCTTTGCCAGAAGAAGGCCCGCAGCCCTGTCCACGGAAGGAATCCTGCTTCTCCCAGCAGTATCCCTGCTCTGGGTGCTCTCCCTGCTCTGGCTCTCCGTGGAGCAGCACACAGCCCTGCTCTGCCCTGTCAGCAGCCATCACCCGGGGGTTGAGAGCCCAGCAACACCAGCATTCAAGGAAGGTTTAAGTGACACCCTAACTCAGACAGGAACCCCTCCCTCCTCACAGATTTGCATCTCCATGTTTTTCCCCCACCAGCTTTGGTGACCAGCTGAAGTGAGAGATGGAAACAGCTGGTCACAGAGGCAGGAGCGAGGGGGATGCATAACCCCACAAGACCCCCCCAGAGCTGGGTCACCCCACTGCTCTCAGGTTCACATTTACAAAACATAAGTCTAATTCTACCTGGAGGCTGCAGGATGGAATAAGGCTCTGGGCAGGGCTGGGCAGCAGGTCCCGGCTGGCATCAGGCTCTTTGGGCACCTCTCAGGGAGGCAGAAGGTGCTGGGTGTGCCTCGTAGATGGCACTGACCCAGGGCAGCCCCAGCCCAGCTCTGCAGCGATGAGGGGCATTGTGAGGGTCTGCTCTGTGCCGCACGCCCCCCACCTGCCTGGGGAAGGGCTTTCAGCCAGGAGGGAGGCAGGGGCAGCAGGGCTGTGTGTACCCAGCACGGACCCACCCTCGGCATCCCCCGCGCCGTCGGGGCTGGCGGCGGCCCCGACCCCGCCGGCACAGGCGGAGCCCGGCCGGGGCTGGGCTCTCACGTACCGCTGCAGCGGAGCGGAGCCCGCGGGAGCCCCCGGGAAGAGCGGGGGGTCGGTGGGGCGGGACAGAGCTGGGGCTGGGCGGGTCGGAGGCGGCGGGGACACCCCTGCTCTCCCACCGCTCCGCTCCGCCCCGCCGCATCCCCGCCAGCATCCCGGGGGGGCCGCGGCGCCGCCCGCACCGGGACGGGCGGAGGCTGAGCGCGGCTCGGGGGTGAGGAGCGGGGGGCACGGGGACACCTCGGGGGCGGGCCGCGGCCCCGATCCTGCCCCGGGGGCCGAGCCGGGCTGGCCCCTCCTCCGGCTCGGCCTCCCGGGGGGCGGCGGGCCCCGAGCGCAGAGCGGCGGCGGCGGGGCGCTGCCGGAGCCCGCTCCGCCGGGCCATGGCCAGCACCGGCTCCGCGCCCGGGGGCGCGGGCGCGGGCTCGGGCTCGGGCTCGGGCACGGTGCTGCCCACCCGCTTCCAGGAGACCGAGAAGCTGCTGTCGGCGACGGAGGGCCGGGAGGAGAAGGGCCTCCGCGGCTCCAAATCCTTCACGGCAGCCTTGCCCGGCGAGACGGAGCGCAACGGGCACGGGCTCGGCTACAAGTCGGTGTCGGTCGGGCACCTGGAGGCGCCGCCGCTCTCGCCGTCCCGGCTGAGCCTGGGCAGAGCCTCTTCCACGGCCACCAGCACGGCGGCCCCGGAGCAGGGCCGCCCGCGGGACTACCTGGTGCTCGCCATCTTCTCCTGCTTCTGCCCCGTCTGGCCCCTCAACATCGTGGCCCTCGTCTTCTCCATCATGGTGAGTGCGGGACCCGCCGGGCTCACCGACCCGCCCGTTCCCCCCCCGGTTCTCCCGCCGCCCCCGACGGCCGCCCCGGAGCTGTCCGCGGTGCTGCACCGCCGGGACCGGGGCGCGGCGGGGCGGGAGGCGCCCGCACCGCTCCCGCAGCGCTCAGCCCGGGGCGCGGGGGCTCGGCCGGGCTGTGCCGCCGCTCGGCTCCCGCAGGGCGCTCCGGTGCGGGTCCGGGGAACGGAGGCGGGAGGAGGCGGGCGGGGAGCGGCGCCGAGCCCGGGGCAGCGCGCGGGGAGGCGGCGGGATGGATGTGGAAAGGGAGGCGGTGGGATGGAGATGGAGATGCGGGGAGGCAGCGGGACGTAGATGGAGATGGGTGGGGGATCCCAGGGCAGGGCTCCGGGAAGCCCGGTAGCTCCGGGAAGCCCGATCCCTGCCGCCAGGCAGCGGTCCAGAACGACTCGCCGGGCTTTCCCGGGAAGGAGCTGCGAGGCGAAGCAATGACAAGGGATCTCCCTCCGCCCCTCCTAGCCCAGCCCTGCAGCACTGGGGAGACCCTGGCTGGAGGCTGGTTCCTGTCCCTCAGGCACTTCAAAGGGTCAGGTGCACCTGCAGCTCTTTTAGTTGCCCCGGAGAAGCAATTTTCGCCATTAAACATCCCCCAAACCTCAGCAAATACACCAACAGCCGAGCAGGGCAGAATGAAGCCAGCCAGCCTCCCACCCATCTCGGGTACAGGTGGCTCAGTCAGCACAGCCCGACAGGCACGGCCACCCCCTTACCCATCAGACGCTGCTCTCTTGTACAGCCCCCCCAGCACCTTCTGTGCCTTTGATTTGCAACAAAGGCAAATCTTTTCTTTGAAAAATCATCTCAGCTACCTGCTTAGCACACAGAAATACACCGAGGGGCACCTGCAGCCAGCACTTCCCCAAAAACCAACAACAACTTGGAGGCAGACACTGGCAGTTGCCACAGAAAGCCCTCTAGAGAGACCCATTTCCATTTTGAGGAGGAATCATCGTTTCTGCCAGTGCCAGCTGTCATCTGCGTAGTACAGTTGTGTGGCAGAGCCTGTTTAGGCAGCATACAGGGAAGCCAGCCAGCCTTGTTTGGCTTTGCACTGCAACGAGAGGGAAAGCAGCTGGGTATTGCATATCCATGGTAATAAACAAGGTCTCTCACGGGGATTTTCCAACCACATTAGCCTTCATGCAAAATAGATTCTCACACTCTCCCTCGCAGGCCTTAGAGCCTCCAGGGCAGTGGGGATGTGCCTTGGGCCACACAAGCCCCACGGAGTAGAAGAGTAAGCAGTGAAAAAGGAGCAGGAGTTAGTTAATCCCGCCAGACAGTGAGGGACTGGGTGTAGTGACTGTGTCACACCCAAAGGCAGGCAAGGCCAACAAAGCAACAAGACTGGCTGCCCTCTGCTTCCAAGGCCCTTGGTCACATTGACCAGAGCTCATCCACAGCTGGGGAAGGGGAAGCCCAACCCCAAAGGCAGAGGTGCACTCAGATGAGCTTGTTCTCCAGGACAAGGTTTATAGCACACACAGTTCACTTAATTTATTACTGCCCTTTCTAGCCCTGGCCCTGCCTACACCATCACCCTCTCCACACACCCCCACCTGACAGCCAGGGAGCTCCACACGGCACCGCCGTAGCAGGATGAGGAGTGATCCTTTCTCTGTGCTGACCCTGGGGAAGCAGCAAACATCTGTCTGGGTCCTTCTGCCAGCAGGAACAGCTCTCAGGGCATTGGCTGATGTTTTACCTGCTTAAATTTAGGAATTTAGCTCCCAGTGACCCCCCAGGTTCCCACAGGCTTAGTTTTTCTCACAGAGTAAAACCCGTGAGTGCCTGATCATGCACAAATCTGAGCAGGAACCAGGTTTTTGTGATTCCTGTCACCTGGGGGAACAGGAGGACCCTTCCACAACGTGCTGACATTCCTTTAGCTCTGCAATTGTGCCTTTCTTTCCTAAGTCAATGCTTTTGCACATGAAAGCTTTTTTTCTGGGTAATAAGCATCCAGAGAGGAAAGCAAATGAATGCTTCTGAGTTTAGTGCCTCATAAATCATTTTCCAAAAGCTGCTCTCAGATCCCAGCAGGGCCTATAGCCAGAGGTAGAAAAAAAACCCCTGCTCTAGCCTCCAGCCTGTTCCTGCTAATGCTGGTCTTGTGGAAATGAGCTACCTGGAGGCTCCTCCACTGATCCTTGGATGCATTTTCTTGGCCAAGTGAGGATCTGGCTGCACTGCGGGGTTCAGGTCATTCCCCAAGCCAGAGAGTGGGACTGGTGGACACAAGGGCAGTGCAGCCCCATGGGACCCATCTCAGAGGAGTGAAGGGCAGATCTGGGTACCACACACACACACACACATACACACTGCATTTCTATTGTGAATCCCTTTCCCTTCCCACCAAAGTGCAGCCACATCAGGGGAAGGAGCAGAGAGGTCACAATATACAAAACTGAACAAATGAAGGGAAGTGAAAATATCCAGCCAGAAGAACCATATATTAACATCAAGGACAACCCTGCAAAGTACTTGGTGTCCAAAATAAGTAGTGTCATCCCCAAAAGATGTGGGAGAA